TAAAAGAAAGCATAATTTATGTCATAAAAAAATAACAATAATAATACTAATTTTAATACATCTAATACATTGAAAAATATTTTGTTTTTATTAAATTTAATAATAATAATCTTAACCACTTGAGATCTTGTATTTTTTTTTTAAAGCCAAGGAATTAAATTTTAATTTCAATGTAGAATGTCAGACCTTTTCCACTAAGGTTCTTGTCAATGTTTAACAATAAATTATATCTTCCAGTATTCCAGAACAAGCACCGTTTTTACTGCTTTCAACATTCTCCATGCCTAAACAAAGAGGAGGCCCAAACAAAGAAATTTCTTACAAATATCAGCAACTCCCAAGCCATTAAACTTGGAAAAGATGTCAGGTCATCCAATGCTCTTGAAGGCAAGCAGAAAAATTAGTATGCAGAAAATAGTTTGTGTGCACGTTTTTTTTTTTTACTACAAAAACATTTTCAATATGAAGGATGATAAAAAACACACACATATATATATATATAATTTATTATAAGTTGTTACATACGAACAAACAAGTAATCATGACAAACGATGCATATTTGTAACTATCTTTATTCACCACCTGATAAGATGCTTAGGTTTATCAAAACAAATATGCATCTTTGTAGTGATTACTTGTTTGTTTGCATGTAACAACTTATAATAAATTAATAAATAAATATTGCTCTACTTTTGGTATTGAGCCCTCTTTTAAATTAATGTTATGAATGTTTGAATTTATATTCTTTTCATTCTCATTTCATTTTGGAGATCATATATATATATATATATATATATATATATACACACACACACACACACATACATACAGAGGGTGTAACAGCAAAATTGTCCAAATCATGTTACAACATAATTATCCATCCCACAAAATGTTTAATTTCTAAAATAAAAAAAAAAAAAAAAAAAAACAAACTAAACTGAATTTTTTTTTGTCCAGGTTTTTTAGAATCAGTGCCGGATCAGTTGGGACCCAAGGACAACTTATATATCTTATATTGGTTGCTGACATTTAGCCATCTTGACACTATTTGTCGTAAGAATCACTGAAAAACCCTTTGAGTTATTTAGCTAAAAACAGAGCAGGTTAAAATTGCCTTGTGGCAGACCCACTGTCTTCCCAACTGAGCGTGTGGTTTTAGGTTTTGTTTGAGATTGTTCTAAGTTTGGGGGTTCTTCATCTGGGTGTTTTTCTTTCACCTATAATAAAAACTTCTAGTCATCATGAGCATTCCATCCTATTTAGCAGAAGTTGAGATTCTTTATTTTCCAGATAGTAATTTAAGATCTGATGGAGAAAAACTGAAATTAGTTGAGGTAAATAACGTTGTTCCAATAGATTACTCCAAAACTTGGTTCAACGAAAAGAATTCTAAAACTATTCCCGACTACAGAAGTTTCTTTAGATAAATGATATGTCCCAGAAAGGGATATATTTGATCAAAGTAGCTAAGTGGGTTTGGCTACTGTAACCAAGTAGTACACGGTAGCAGTAATCAACTGGTACTGGTCTTAGTCACAGGTAATAGGTGTAGACCAATAGGATAGCCAATGGTGTAAGTCCAATGGGCGTCATCATAGACTTAAGCTCTGTCATACCTACATGTCCGTCTGTATTTATGACGGACACCAGCCAATCATATTCCAGTGAGGGGGAACTCAGGTGTATGCATATTCCATTATATCATGTACATTAAAGAGACGTGGTTCGACAACTCCAGAAAAATGACACCCTCTCAACAGACATATATATCTTGGCTTTATATCATGTCATCCATTCCAGTATTGAAGGGAGTCAATTGCAGGAAGATTGGAAATCTTTTTCCATTCATACAGGTTCTAACAGCAGAACAATCAAACCTCTAGATCTAGTAGACATACAAACTAGTTCTACTCAAGTGTTAGAATCATCCCTAGAGTCAGTGCTGGATCCGTCGGGACACAAAGACAACTTATACATTCTATATTGGTTGCTGTCCCATTATAGAAAAGGGTTTGCAGAAACTGCAGACAATATTGGAATATACAAGAAACAAAAATGGAGGAAAGACTGATAACGAGAAGCAAAGGTGCTCCTTTTTATTTCAAAACAACCACAATACCAGGTAACGGGGGAGGTGCCGCAGTGATATTTCAAGAGCCTAATTTTAGGTCCTTAGTGGCAACTGTGGACATGTTTCTTTTCAAATTCCCAAATCATCCATTATTGTCTCTTTGTGTATGTACATTAACCACTAGATCAAGGGGTTGTACAAGAGTAATGGACTTGTCTTACTTGAACAAGAAATTACTAGAAAAACCATTCAAGGAATCTATGTAATATATTTTCCTTTGTTCAGTTGGTAAGGAGCTTAAACAAATACCAGAAAAGGATCAAGAAATGGGTAAGGAGAACTCCTACTTCAATTCTCAGTCTTCCCTAGGAATTGTCACCAAAAGTGCCCATTCTTGTGGTGCTAACCCACTCCTGCACAATTTAGTGCATATTATCAGAGCGGTGAAAGGTTATCCCCAATCAGTCCATTCTAGACACATACTTGATGGGTGGACAGAAAGTCTAATGAACTACACCCTACAGATGGTGGACCATATCAAAGAGAAGAGGATTTAGAAGTTATGTTTGCAGAATCCAAGGAAAAGAGAATGGAAATTACCATTCAAGGAACAACAAGATTGGATGAAAGAAGGATGAGACAGGATCCCACCCTAGGTCGATCAGAGGATGAAGAAGAAATCAATAATCTATTTCTATCCAAGAGAAACTGTACTCCGAGAGAATTCTATTATAAAATATCAGGAGAGGCTACCAAGGGAATTGATACGTTAATATCATAAAATCATCTCCAGTTCGAATTCTATCTTCAAAGAAGTCATGATGGGGTCAATTGGAGAACAATTAAAATCATCAATTGAATCTGTAAACAATCTAACTTGGAAAAAAAAAAAAGTATTGTGTGAGAATGAAAATTAAATAATAGATTAAATAAATAATACCCATAATAATAAAAAAAATAAATAACTTAATTTTCCCATAATGCAAATGGAAACCAAAAAAAAAAAAAGGTTTCCAGTCAGATGCAAAGTTTGTGACCCCACTTCCGGAAAGTAGATGATCTCTCTCTTGGTACTTTCCAATCAATGGATTCAGACATGTTTTTGCAGCAGTCCTAAGGGAAAGGAGATTCAGTCACCCTTTCTCAACGTCATGTTGATTTGAGATCAACCACTCTCTTACCTCTGAGTTTAGTACACACACGTGTCAATAAAAATTGACCCTTAATATTCCAACCAAATTTTTGTGTTATTTATTGTGGTTCAACAACATTATCCTCTTCTGATAATGGATGAAAAAAAACAATATCAACCAACCTTAAATGGTGACCCCAATGTGATACAAACATGCAAAACAAAAACATATCCAAATCCAATGATTTGAAAGTATCAAGAGAGAGATCATCTCCTTTCTTGAAGTGGAATCACAAAGTTTATACATGACCAAAAATCCATTTTTTTTTGGGGGGGGGGGTTCCATTTGCATTATGGGAAAATGAAATTATTTACTTTTTATTATTATTATTATGGGTATTATTTATTTTATTTTATTTTCATTCTTCCACAAAATATATATATATGACATCACATTATCTACTCAGGTTTTATTACGTCAGTAATTTTAAACTGAAATAAACACTGAATGACAAGTGTAATTGGTTATTATAAAATGTTGTATGATAAACTAAAGCCACCGTTTTCTGTTTATTATTGATCTCATCAATAACTGCCAACAATTGTTCTATTAACCCTAAAATATTTTTCCTTAATATTTAACAAGAGGCAAGCAATTTTTCATGGTTAGTCAAATAGCTCTCTGAATACCTCTATCAAGGAGTTTCTGGTTTTAGTCATAATATTTGTGCGAATCACGAGTCATCTTCTTTGTTTACTGAAAATAAAATAAAACCTGTTTTTGCATATTTGTACTTTTGAAACTTGTAAATTCATTTTTTTAATACTGGCCTTTTAATCTGACTTTTCAAAATAAAAGCTTCTGTTTTTGTTTTTTGTTTTTTGGGGGGTTTTTTGTCTTATAAAAACCAGAAAGAACACTGAATGTACAGCAAGAAAATTAAGAACTAAATGATTTATTATTTACACTATTTACACACAGACAATTGCTCTCATCTTTGTTGTTGCTAACACAACGTTTCAACTATTATGCCCTGTCCTTCTTCAGGTGTCTGTCAATCCAAGTAACCTACAGGGAATTTCAAACTGAACCCTTTATTTAATCTACAAGGGTACACTGTTCTCATTCCACTGACCATGTCTAGGGATATCTCGTCTACTTCTTATTTTTAGCATTGCTCAATTATTGCTCAACCTTGTTTCCAGTGAGTCCAAGTACACACAAACCAACACATTAATTAACTGGGTTACTGTCCCAGGATAATAGCCCAGTGGGTTAAAGCTTTGTTTCATGAATTTGGCAAGATAGTAATTATGAGTTCAATCCCTGGATCGGGTACTTGGACTCAGTGGAAACAGATCAAGAAATAACTAAGCAATACTAAAATAAGAACTAGACAAGATATCCCTAGACACGGAGAGTAGAATGAGAACAATCTACCCCTGTAGATTAAATAAAGATTACCCAGATTGATAAGCACCTGATGAAGGCTGGAGGGCATAAAATCTGAATATCTGATAACAAAAAACAACAGAGATGAGGACAATAGTCTACGCATAAATAATGTAAGTAATGATAACACTTCATCCTAGAAATTCAGACAGATATTAAATGATATATAGCTATTATTATTTTTAAATGGAGTGTTTGAAAACCCCAACATATGCTGTGACAATGCCTTGCAGTACTAATTACTAAGATTGTTTTTGTAAGCTTAGTAAAGTACTTTTAAATAAATAACTAATAAATGGCTCCAGGAATGTACAAAGAAATGCCTTCCTAAAAGAAGGAGACCATCAGCAGTAGTATGAAAAAAAAAAAAAACATTTCGCAGAGCTGAAAAGAAAAAAAATACAAATTAGAGAAAACAAAAAATAAATAAAAATAAAATACAAATTATGGGAAAAAAAATAAACAAACATATTTTTTAGGCCTGTCCTTGAATTAGAATATACATGTGCACATGCAAACATACATATGCACACATTTTAAAAGAGACTGAAATTTTACTAGACTATGCCCCGTGCATTTAAAGTAATAGCTCAAGCCCCAACGAAACTTTCCATGGAACTAGTGATAGAGTAGTGAGAGGCTTGTGATGTTTTATCTGTGAGAAAACGGTTGTAGGGTAGAAAATAATTTGTCACACACATGGATGCAAAGACACTTTTGGTCTATATTGAGCCTGGAAAGTGATGACTGGGCAGCTCCTAGACATATATGGTAGCAGTACACCATTTTTCAGCACAATCTGGCTCTTGTAAAGGTAGAGGATAGCATGAGAAGTCAGGTACTTACTAAAGCTGTACAGGTAACCAACCATTTTTCCAGCATTTTTAGCAATGGATTCTGTGTAAGAGTTCCACATTGTAGGTCAGAGTGGAGTTTAAGTCACAATAGGCATTCAAGACACAGGTGAAAATTCAAGGTCCATTAAGTGATGAGGAAATGTTACTAACTTGATTTTTGAAGCCTTAATTGTGACCAACTGATTTTTTTCCCATTGAACTGTTAAAGCTAGCTCAGAGATCAGCTGCCAAGCTCTGGTCATCTGGATTTGGAGGTGCACCCATATACCATTATCATATATATTCACAAATAATCAGAGTATGCTCTTAGGCACATTATTGATGTAAAGTAGAAAGATGGTTGGACCAAGAAGTGAACCTTGAGAGACACCTGTGTTAATCGTTTGGGTCTCAGAGAACTATCTTCAGGGACCTGGTTATTAGAAATGACTTAGTAACTGAGAAGACTCTTCCAGTGATTCCATAACTAGAGAGCTTGTGTAGTCATCCTCTATACCACACCTTATCAAAGGCCTTTGAAATATTGAACTCATGATCACTACATAACGGCAACACAAGTTTAACTCCTGTATCTACAATGCCATTGTCCCAACACTATACCTTATCAGTGCCAATAATAACATCTATAATGATGAAGATGAGAACAGTTTCATAAATTGAAATATACATACTGAGATAATTAGCATTCCAAATTATTCTCAGTAAGCTTATTAGTGTCAAGACATGTTTTTCGTCGTGCATGGACAGAAGTACGAGGCAGCCAGCAGCCAAATGCTACAGCTGGAAAGTCCATTTTGTGACTTCCATTTGGGAATATATCTTCCCCAGATATAGAAAGAAGTTCTGGCTAGCAGTCCTCAATTTGAGAAAACCTAAGATTCACTGTTTCCACTTCACAGAATATGTCCTCATTTGAGATATTATAGATGAATCTGGCTTGTTTGTATCTGGAGGCCTAAACATGGCTTCTCCAGAAATACAAAAGAATCTTCATATTATATGAAAGAACCTATCTTTTTGTTCTCCTTACACTCTGCTTGCTGTGTAGAAATATGTGATATATTTTCCTGTGTTGGTTACATATAGTTTTGTGGTATAATAGCCTCTCTGAGAACAAAGAATATTTGTCATTCCTTTTCCTTTCAGCCATTCAGTGAATACAGTGTTATTATATCATGGATAATAATATAATAATGCCCATAATGGGGGAAATGTAAATGGGAGAATAAACCTTTTTTCCATACCTCTCTCCCATTATATTATTAATATTAACATCTTAAAATCTCAAAATTATATTCCTCTTCTCAACACTTCTCTTTTTTATATGTGTGTGTGTGTATATAAATATAGTAGGCTGATAATTGAAAAAAATAATAATAATAATAATAATACTGATAATAAGACTAATAATCTGTTTACATTTCTGAGATGAGGTATTGTAATTATTTACATTATTCGGAATGTTGTCATCATCTTTATTGCCATATTCATGATCTTTCGGCCGTTGTACACACCGGCCTTCTTCAGGTGATTGGAATTTCAAACTGAACCCTTTATTTCATCCACTGGGGTAGATTATTCTTGTTCCACGGCATCTAGAAGAGACATGGCATGTGAAAATAGAACAATCTACCCCAGTGGACAAAATAAAGGGTTCAGTTCAAAATTCCAATCACCTGAAGAAGACCAGAGTGTACAATAGCCAAAACATTGTGAATATGGCAATAAAGTTGAGGACAATGTAAATAAGACTAATAATATTTATTGTTAGGCTTTTTGACCAAATAGAAGCAGGATAAGAAAAGATGTTAAAAATCAGAAATTTTCAGACATGAGAAATAAAAAAATGAAGTAATTTTGGCAAGGTAATTTTTTTTGTCTGCATGCGTTATATTACTGATAAAATCTATTAGTTTTAGACCAGCTGTTTGGCACTATATATATATATATATATATATATATATATATATATATATAATAAAATGTGTGGATGGCCTGATGAAACAGTGTTAACCTCAGTGTTTACTTTTAAATTTCTATATTTACATAGGCTCTAACCCAGATATCGACCACTTTTACACATAAATATAGCATATCATACATGTGCATTTTTGTTTTGATTTTGCTGACTGCACGGTATAGTAGAGTCAGTTGGGCACCGTCTGTGAGAAAAAGAGCACCATGACACAATTTACTCCACTAAAAATTTGGAAACAGCATTCTGTACTGCTTGGCATTCTGGAAGCTCCAATACATACATTTCAGAGTGTTTGGGTGTTAACCTGACAACAGTGCTGAGGATATGGAAAGATTTTAATGATGAGTTTAATGGTGATTATGAAGGTGTTCTTAATGATCACTAGTGATGCCGACGTTATGCCTCCATTCATCTTTCCACGGGGCCTTCAATATGCAGGCCTACATCAAGTGCCTTGAAGAGGTAGTGCTTGCCCTGGGCAAAGAGGGTGGCTGCTGGAAGACCCTATGTCTAGCAACAGGACTGCACCATGCAACACAAGTATAAGAACCCAGACAATTTCTACAACTAAATCACCCCTTACATATGGGCACCTAACTCGCCAGACTGCAACCGCCTTGATTATGATGTGCTTGGCGCAATTGACTGAGAAAAACAAAACTACTTGTAACACCAAAGATGGACTGAAGGCAAGAATTATGGCAGCTTTCACCAACTTAAACAAGGAGACCATCCAGAAGAGTTGCAGGAGATTCCAAAATTGTCTGGAGGTTGTGGTTGAAGCCAATGGCAATTTTATTGAATGAATTTACTCTTTAGTATTTCAAGATATTTTTGTGTAATTTTGGTAAATATATTTGTTAAAATGAGATGTCAGTGTTATTTTCATTTTTACATAATTTAGACAATTAATCCCTCTCACCCTATATATATATATATATATATGGGATATTTTTTAAAAATTTTTACAGATGATATTCATCTTCTCTAAACATTAACGTAAAGAAATTACATTGTTTTTAATTGATTTCATTTTCCCCACAAAGACTATTTAAATTTAGTGTCACTATTAGAAAAATAAGAGAGAAATTTTTGTAAAAGAATTCAATGAGATAAATGAGTAAAACTCAAACTTTACCTAAATCTTAGATTCAACCATCTGCAAATAACAGTGCAGGCTCTAAGAGACAATTTGTAATCTCTGACGGAAGAGATAGTGTTGATTCTATAACAGTAGACAAGAGACTGTCAAGCCTGAAAAAAAAGGAACAAATAGACTGAAAATAAAATAAGAAAGGAACAACAGGTAGATTTTTTTCACTATAAATCCTTTAAATAAATAGATATATTTAATTACGTATTTGCTAATTTTTCATATGTCTAAAATTTCCCCCCCACCAAAAAAAAAGAAAGAAAAGAAAAATTAAGCAGTATGTCATGATATAAATATCATAAGCATTAACTTCCCTTGATTTGGACTCTTCTGGAATTATACACCATTTACTGTACTATATAGCGCCTCTTTTACTTGTATTCTTTATGTTTTTATTTGCTCTAAGCCCTGCCGTCAGCCACTGTTTTTATTAAAGCCTTCATCAAGGTACTTTTTTAATTCCTTATTACAATAAGGAAATAATATTTTTTTTATAATTTGTGTATATACTTTTTAAACACACTTAAAAAAAACTAAAACTAAAAAACTAAAACTAAATGAAATACAAAACACCAAAAATTAAAAAAATAATAAAATTGAAAAAAATTAAAATAAAATTTAAAATAAATAGCTAGCTAAGAGTGGATCATGAATAATTCTCTCTCTTTCAATGCTAGGTATCTTCATGTTGTGAGTGATCATAGTTCTCCACAGCTTCCTTTTTAATAGTCCTTTCAACAAACCTAGTCTGTTTATTACCACTTCATGCTATTGTAAAAATTGTTCCTCCATCCATTTGCTCAAAGTTAAAATAGATTACAAACTGCTTTTATCTCTCTTGCCTGTGATACATCTTATGAGTGTTAAGTTTTCCAAACCTTCCTTCTTCATTGTGTTTCAAATATTTCAGAATCCTCTTTCTGATTGTTAGTAACAAGTTCTTTGTAGTTCCTATTCTCTTATGTTAAATCATCTGTTAAATCATTAGAAAAACAAGAAAACACCTTTAAGCTTATCAATGTTGTTATGGTGAAAGAATAAAACACAACAACTCACCATTGCTTCACTTGGGGTTGAAGGTCAGTGGAATCACTTTTGGAATTAGTCTTTAAAACATGGAAATTATCCTCAATGCTTTTTTTCACTTCTATAAACACAGAATTATTGCCAATGTTGTTCATTGATTGCTAAAATAAAATAAAATAAATAAAATGTTATTTTTCAGGTTTTGTTTTTTTTTTATATAAAAACATCTTGTATTCATCAAGTGAAACATTTTTTTCAGGGAAAATGTACACCAGATATGAGGGAATCACTCTCCATGTAAACCAGACGAGATATAGAAATGAACTGAAAATGGCCATAACATAGATATGTACTGCAAATGGCCATATTATAGATAAGCACTGCAAATGGCCATACTATAGATAAGCACTGCAAATGGCCATACTATAGACAAGCACTGCAAAGGGCCATACTATAGATATGCACTGAAAATGGTCATACCATAGACATGCTCTGAAAATGGCCATACTATAGATATGCACTGCAAATGGCCGTACTATAGATATGCACTGCAAATGAAGAAAAAAAGATTGTCTATAAACAAGAATTGAGGTACGCATTATTGCTACTATATGATTATATTATTTAGACAACTACATTATGTTCATGTATAATGATATCTTTTGTTTGTTTGCTGAGTATATGGGGAAATCTTTTCTTTTTTTTTTCAGGATATAGGTAATCAAAGTTTTCCTTCTTCCAGACTGGGTGCCTCTCAAGGCTAATAAGCCCATTCTGTACTGCTATTTATCTCATAGCTGGTTGTGGTAACTGACTAGGCCATAATTCAAACTCAACTTGACAATATGTACTGGTAACCATTACAAGAAGTAATAAAAACTAAAATAAAATCAATTTACACCCACAAAAATAAACAGACAAAACCTTATACAATTTTGGATCTTGTTTATATCACTAGATTGATAAATTGAAGATATATGTAACAAAAGTGATGTTAGTAAACATTCTACATTTAATTACAAGTTATGACAGGAAAAAAAATTCAGTGCTATGTCAAATATCTACACCTGAAAGATGTCTAAAATATTTTATTAACAAAAAATAAAATACAAAACATATGGCAATAATTAAAAACACAAAAAAAGATTTGATCAAAGATAATGGAACACTTACAAAAAGTAATGAAACCTTGTGCGCCAGATGTGTAATGTTATGACTTCTGAGATCATCTTGAATTTGTGATGCTAATATATGAATCTGGTTCAATGTAGCCATTTGTGGAAAATAAGCTACAAAAATATCAATAAATATTTGAAAAAGCTGCAATTATAAATAAAAATTAAATAAAAACAAAGTATTCCATATTCTCATTTTTTTTTAATTTGAAGCTTTTCCATTAATCCTATGTATAATTCCCACTAACGACATTGTTTTTTTTTTTTTTGTTGTCACATGATGTTTCTCAATTTTCTTCAGTTGTTTGTTGTACCTGGTAATGTTGGGATATTATTCTTATTTTTTCTATCTGTCCAACTCCTTAATTCAATTCCCAATTATGTCTTCAGGAAATATGGTATTCTATTATTTGAAACAAAATTGTCAAATAAAACCAGAATTGCACACCTAGGACTGGGACACTTTTGTTTGGTTCATCATCTGATCCAGTCTCCACAGAGTAAGAAGGACAAAAATATTAAAAGATATCTTATCAACTGCTCTGGGATAAAGAAATTACTAACAAAATATCTTAAATACTCGAAAGATGTATAGATTGTTTTTTTTCTTTATAAGAGTTTATAAAAATGACTGAACAGATATGTTCATAAATGAGAGACCACAAAGTGGTGCTATGGATCCAGAAATAATGTCATATTAAGAACATTAATGATAAAAGGCACAGTGGAGTAATGGATAGCAGCTTGAATTGAGGAATCGGAGAGCCAAGTTTAAATTCCAGTTGAATCCATTAAATTCACTTACGTGCTAATACCCTTGGAAAAGGTATGATTCCTCTCCTTCTCCCCCCAGCTATGGGCAAATAACAGGACAGACCTTGGATAGCAACTGGTCTACCGCAGAAAGAAATGGCAACCTACTGCAGAAAAAAATCTGCCTCGTCAATCATGTATCTTTCGATACATGATCACCTAAGTATGTATCACGCATGACACATAATAGAATGATAAAAGCCAATGACATTTGGAAGACATTATTTTCCAGCAGTAAGCCTTACAACTTAAAAAAATTGAATCCTGAAAACCCCAAATCTTTGTTCTTAAATAAAATAACTAGTTTTTAACTGCTGTCAAATAAAAAAAATGATAATAATAATTTCAAATTAATCAAAAGTTCATATTTTATTAGTTAACAGGAATCCAGAGATTACAGCAACATTTGAAAATATTTTTAAATTGAAAGTTTTTTTTACTCTAAACCCACAGAGAAAATTTTTTAAATTTTAAGTTTTTTTTCAGTTTATATGAGTACTAGCATAGTACTTATTAAAAACAATGAAATTATTTACATACAAATGTTTGATTTAATCCAGTCATTCCTCTCAAATTGCAAAATGAAGGTTGATTTGAATAGGATTGCTTCCAGATTCTTTCACCCCAAGCCATTATCCATTACGGCACCTGTATATCCAAGCTTACAGCAACTGGTATTCTCAAGACATCACCCATCTAGGTACTGATTAGGCTTGACATTGCTTAACAATTGGTGATCATATGGGAACCAATATTTCAATATGATATGGCCATAAGCCTTTCAGTGTTTTTTTATGTACAAATGTAACCAACATTTGTTGTGTTTTGTTCCCTCCCCTATATATCTATACGATTTCATCAATAAAAAGATTTTTTTTAGTCTGAAGTTGTCTTTTCATAGGGCAAAACAAGTAACATAGGACTTACTTCTTTTTTTTTTCGTTTTATCATTCAATTAAACAGATATTCTTGCTATTAATAAACGTATTTTAAAAATGTCTTTAGGCAACTGAAAAGCTGCTGAGCTTTAAATTTTTTTTTTTTTAAATATACTCAATTAAAGTATAAATTGCAATACAGATCTATGAAGTTATACAAATAATAATTGCGAAGAAAAAAAACAAATAAGCAATGCCCTGAAATCGTGAAACAAGGGAAATAACTCATAGCGAAGGCAAATAAGAAATCCAAAAATATTCAACATTTGTCTGTTGAAGAATTTATTTGTTTTTGTTTTGTTTGTCTTTTTTTGTTTTTTCAAATCTTTAATCAGAATAAACTTAATTCTAATTAAAATTAATATTGTAGACAATTTAAAATTAATTATTAACAAACATATAAAACATATTTGAACACTTATCATTCAAATAACAACACAAATGAAATATTTAGGAAATTTAAACATCTATTTTTATTTTCCATATTAAAGCAAACAGATATGGAAATAAATGAGCTTTGCCAGAATTCGAACCTCAGACTCAGAAGTAAACAGATAGATGACCTACAAAAATACCATGCATTGCTGCTGACATATTTCAGTAAAATTATATCTAGAATACTAACTTAGGTTTTCTTGGTGTTTCCATACTTTTTATTTTTTAAATATTTCTATTAGATATTAGCAATCTTTAAACTTTGTGCCTGTAAAAAAAATGGTGTGTCAAAAATATATATATATATATATATATATATACACATTAATCATGGTATGCAGGAGGTTACAGAGAGTGAAAGTGAAAGAAAAGACCGGGTATAAGCGGGAACTGAGGAAAAAATAAAAGATGAATGGGGTTCAAGACAACAGAAGATGGTGATTGATGTTGCATTTAAATTTTTGAAGATTGTAGTTATGGGAAGCAAGTAAGCAGAAGGGAGTTCCACTGTTGGGAAGAGCGAGAAAAGAAACTGTTGGAGTAGAAGTGGTGGTTACATTTAACTATTTCAGTAGTAAAAGGTGGGACTCCGAGATGAAGCAGATATGGCAACAGTATTCAATGCACAAACGGTAGATTTGTAAATGTGCAAAATGGATTCTGACAAGAAAAATTTTCTGGCACAACAAAACAAATTTTCCCTGTACTGCTCCAGTAAGTAGCCGACTCCTCCTGCTATCCTCTAGCTTTACAAAAGCCAGATCAGGCCGAAAATATATAAGCAGGAGCTGTCCAATAATCATTTTCCACATCTTGATAGAATCCAAAAGTGTCACTATGTCCTTGCAGGTGATGAATTATTTATGCTCTACAACCCTTTTCTCACAAACAAAATATCACAAGCGTCTTGTTGGTCTATCGCTGTTTCCATGGAAACTGTTCAAACTACATTCCTTAGTTCACCCAGTTCTAACCTTCATGGCCAAGATCTACCATGCCATACACATTGTAGCAAACCACATTCATTCCATTCATATTCCTTTGGTGAGATGTAAGTACCACTTGAGCAACTTCTGCCAACAAAATGCTGCTTTGCAAAACCAACTCCTAAAAGGATGCTTCCCCAATCACAAGAATCTTAACCTGTTCAAGTCTAGGATTAACCGTTCTCTTCCCCCACATATAAATTATGCCTCTGCCTCAAGTGGCTCTTGGATCTTATAAAAGGTTAATATCATTGTAAAAAACAAAACAAATAATTATAAATATGCACTGGGAATTTTCCCTAGCTTAGACTCTTAGTTAAATGAAAATATTTAATGAATACTTGCAACAAGGTATTGACAGGTCTTTACTTATCGTTCTGCTTAGATACATACCATCCATATCACATTCAGAATTTGTCATGCTAAACCCGTCTTGATTTGCAATCACTGCTGCTGCACGAGGATATAAACATAACAGGTAGCTGTCCTTGGAAAGAAGTTTCTGGAATTTTAAAAAAACACATTATTATTTAATAATAATAATAATGATAATAATATTATTCTCATCATCATCATTTCTTTCAGATTGTTTCTAATGTTCAACTCTTAATTTCCAGTATCCCACAATACAACTTTTGGGGGGTCAACATAATAAATGTACTGTGATGTAGGCCAGTGGTCTCCAAAGCTCACGGTTATGATCCAAATGAAAGTTACAAGGATGCTCCTGAGGGTCACAGAACATTTTAGAAAAAAATAATAAAAATAATGATGCCACAGCAGGCATGGCTCTCATAGATTTTCATCTTAACTGAGTGTAGATATTAACGTGTACATGTTTTGTCTTGGGGGAATAAAGAGTCGCTACAGTAAATATCCTAATTTCTGCCTGAATTTCTGGGATGAGCTGTTATCATTATTTACGCTATTTACATTCAGACTATTATCCTCATTTTTGTTGTTGTTATCACAACGTTTCATACACCTGATGAAGGCTAGAAAGCACAACAGCCGGAACATTTTGATAACAAAGATGAGGACAAAATCCGAATGTAAATAGGGTAAACCAGCGCCTCCTACAGTTTTTACATTCACAACCCCATATTTCATCACAAGATTTTTCATGACCTCAAGTATTAAACAACTAAACAAAAAATATATACATTGTCACTGCACTGGTCGCAATGGCGCCATATGCATGTTCTATTACCGCATCGCTTATGTGGCACATCACATTAAATATTGTGCATTTGTGAAATAACATATAAATTGAAATTCAAGTGTTTGAATTTAATTTTCAAGACCCAAAGTAGGGTAGCAACCCATAATTTAAGAAGCACTGGAGTAAATAATAGTAAATATCTTGTTCAGTGCAACATATTTGCTTGTCGGTTTCCAGACTTTAACCAGTTGATCATGTCTCCTAATGGCCAATGAATGGTGAATCTCAGTTCATGAACAAGTATAGTGGGGGAATACCATGGCTGGGTGTCAAGGGTCATTGTTTTTTTTTTTTAAGTTTGAAGGATAAGGTAGCCAGGATGTATCACATCTAAATGCTAGGGAGAATCTTCAACTGGAAAACATCTGAACAGACAGGGTTACTCAATCTGAAGAAATTTCTAACTTATGCACTGCTTTTAATAAAACCTGTCACTATTTCATACATCTGATTGCGATGCATGTGTACAGTATACCCTTATCATTGGGTGTTGTAATGGGTATATTGGGCTTTCTATATTTGTACCCCAATGTCATTTTGTTGCCATGCTGCTCTCTCACACCCAATAATAATAAAAAAAATAATGAAGGATGTTAAAATAGTTCAAATATATTTACATCACATTTTTAGAATATAAAATATTATTGAAATTCTGGAAGAGGAAAATAAATACAAATAATAAAGCATTTATATACAGAGGAAAACATTTTTATTATTTTATCAAAACACGACCGATACATTATGACACAGGTCATTTCATGGAATATGACCAATTACACTATGACACAGGTCATTTCGTGGAAACATGACTGATACGCTATGACACAGGTCATTTCATGGAAATATGACTGATTACACTATGACACAGGTCACTTCACGGAAACATGACCAATTACACTATGACACAGGTCATTTCGTGGAAACATGACCGATACGCTATGACACAGGTCATTTTGTGAAAACATGACCGATACGCTATGACACAGGTCATTTTGTGAAAACATGACCAATATGCTATGATACACATTATTTCATCAAAACATGACCAATATGCTATGATACACATCATTTTATATGCTATGATATACATGTAAAATTTACATGAAACTGTTTTATATTTTCTTCGATCAACACAAGAAATAGACAATCTTATTTAATTAAAGTAAAATTCAATAAAATTTAATGAATAAAATTAAAAGAAACAATGAAATTGTGTTTCTGCCTTCAGGATCATTAGACCAAAACATTCCGTATTCAAAAATATTTGGGAAACACTGGTATTGGCAAAGCAGAGAATTGCAGTGTTCCAAATTTGATTATTTGAATCCTAATTTCACACAACCACAATTATTTTAATTGCTTTCTTCTTTAAATTTTTGAAAGAACGGCAGTATCATTTATTTCTTACAGAAAGAAAAGAGTTAAATAAAATGGATTAGGGAAAAACATGAGGTTTGTTAAACAGAACATGAGGTTAAGATCATTTAAAATGAACAAAGAAAAGCAAATTCAGACACAAAAAAAGACATAAAATATAAATTCAGAATGTCTTGATCAAATACCAACAAGAAAAAAAAAAGATCTTTTTTTATCAATTAAGAGCTACCATATTAATTTTTATTAAGCAAGATGTATCCAGGAGCTTGAAATGGAATAAGCTTAACTGACTAAAATTATTGATGTAATCTCATCACAATATTTTGACAAATACACCTCATATTTCATTGAACAATCAGATCATCATAACTGAACTATTGTTACTACGTCATTATATATATTTATTGAAGGTGTTCCTAGCACAATAATAGGTGCAGTTATCTTATTTAAATTATTACTTGTTATTCTTAGGTTTTCTTTGAATTCATTATTTGCCAACATAATTATCAACACTGAATGTGTGTCTATATTTCTAAGATGAGATACTGTAATTATTTACACTATTTACATTGTTTGGGCTGTTGCCCTCATCTTTTTTGCCATATTCCCAATGATTCGGCCATTGTATGCTCTGGTCTTCTTCAGGTGATTGGAATTTTGAACTGAACCCTTTGTTTCTTGTTCCACATACCATGCCTCTTCCTGATTCCTCAGTTATCTCCCTTTAACTCAAGATTTTTTCACCACTGCAGTAGCCAGATATTGAACTGGATCCAACCAACACTTATCCACTGGGCCATATGTCCTTGAGGACATCAGTTTATGAATTTTGGGAATTTATAAACTTATTATCTCTGTGATCTCCCTTTTCCCTCTATATGTGGTCAGCTATGCCTGATTTTTCTATTTCCCCTCGTATTGACTGAATGTGTGTTTATCAATTCCCTTTAGTCAATAGTTTTATGGAAGTTGTTGTGCTCATCCAGGACCATGTGCCTCGTAATGGTAGTCAGGCCAAATAATAATCAGAGGTTCAAGGAAAATAAATTGATTGTCTCACAAAAATTTGCATTTCAAATACAATAATCATTTCACCTTGTCTGCTAAAATATAACAATGTAATTTGGTGGGTGTTAAAATGAACTGAGGTATTCCCCACATTTATAAACAAACATAGAATTGATTGGAAAAATAATTACATTAGCAAGAAAAGTAACAATAATAATAAAATAATTTCTTTGACACCCCCCCCAGTAAAATTCTTCTGCCATTATTCAAACATTCTTTCATCGTAAAGTAGAAAAGTACAACATTTTAAATAATTTTAATCATTATAAATAAATATCAAATTCATCTGAAGCCAAAAATCTGTCCCAATTAAACTATCAAGCTTTATTTAGGCAAGTCATTTACAGAAATATATACTCATTTTGGAAAAAAATAGGGATAGGATAATTAAGCCCTTTGAAAAATTCTAAACCTTATTTCCAGACTGTTAATCCTTACCTGACAAGGAGATGAAAGAGGAAGGCACCTTAAAAAATATTCCATCTGATCCATTATCACAGCGGCTGAAATAAAAAAGCCAAAAAACAAAAATGAAGCATGAGAAGAATTAATAAATAAATATATAACAAATTTTATTTTGGCAGATATGTTATATTATATACACTCCAGGAGACTGACTTCTCGTGCTAACGTTTTCTGCTGACATGAAGTGAAAAGATCTGCTGCACATTACACATTATAAATCTACTATTCATCCATATGTAGAATATTGCTGTCACATCTCGTCTGGTGCTTCTGCTATGTATTTAGAGATTCTTGATAAAATATAAGGAAGAATCTACAATGTTATTAGTCCTGGACCTGACATCTGAGCTTCAGTTACTTTCCTACTGCCATAGCTTCCCTGCGACTTTTCTACAAATATTTTCACAGTAATTGTTTTGATGAGTGTTCCTCTTTAGTACTTCGACTTTATGGATTCAAGTACAGTACTAGATTGGCAGCTTGGTCTCATCATTTTACAGTTGAAATAGCAAGACATATCTGTGAGTTTTACACTAACAGTTTCTTCACTCACATGTCTCACTTGAGGAACTCTCTTCTGGCCTCTTGCTTTCCAATCAACCTCTTCAAAAATTTAAATGAAATTCCTGTTCTTTTATTGTTCTCATTCCTTAATAATGCTTTTCTTTTTCTCATATTCTTTCATATTCAGTAACCCCTTGCATCTTAGTGACTTTATTGCTTTGTTTGGGGTGAAATGATTAACAAAGAAAGAGTTTCAAATGATTTTTTGTTGCAAAAAGGATAAGTTTATAGTGAAAAAAATACAACAGCATTTTCCTCCTCTGTTATGTGTGTAATTTCAATCTACACTGAATCTAACTAAGTCAACATCCATCTGTATGTATTCTTAATAAATTTAATTGTTATGTGGAGTAAGTACCTCTATATTGCTATCATTTCAGTTTTTACATTACTGTCACACATTATGAAATGGACAAAGTCCGACAATTATTTTAAGACATTTTTATGTTTACACATTCTTTTTTATAGATACAAATATTTAAGTAAATAAGTAGTATAATAAACAGTATTAATAACATTTACCAACCTGAATGTCCGAGAAATTGTCATAGAGAATATACGTCCTCCGACAGGAATCGAACATGTATCCTATATGGAACCGTCATATAGCCTGACGTGCCTTAACCGATTGAGCCACAGAGAATCGTTCGGTTAGAAAGGTCGATTTTACTGTTTTTAAACGACAATCTTCAATGATTCTCTCATGTACATTCATATCTGTTCAATGCGTATCCAAATGTAAACAAATGACGTCACACATTATGAAATGGACAAAGTCCGACAATTATTTTAAGAATTTCTCGGACATTCAGGCCAGTAAATGTTATTAATACTGTTTATTATAAACAGAGCATTTACTTAAATATTTGTATCTATAAAAAAGAATGTATAAACATAAAAATGTCTTAAAATAATTACTAACTATATTAAGCAACATTATTTGGCAATGAAGGGTCATTTTCGCATAACACATGGGTAACACTTTATTTGAGTTAAGGATTAATTCACATTCCATAACAGATTGACAACAATGTCATAACAATAAGCAGCTTAGAATACTGACCAGTAGTTGGGTTGCTTAACTTTTTAACATGAATTAGTCTCAAGTTGCTTAAATGGTTAAATTTTTATGCTTGGATCTGATAAATATAAAAGCAAGACATTTCAATTAAATAAACTAGCAGAATTGATTAATTGATTTTTTTATGTCTTATCAACCTTTTGCAGGCTATTTAAAGCCAGAAAATATTTTTAGATTGTATTATAATCATTTTTACTGATACAAGTTCTACTAATTAACCCATAGATGGGGTGAGAAGAGGTGGATTCATAACTTCCCTAATAGTAATTGTGTGCAAGTGAAAGTAACAAAACTTTAATTGGAACTTGGCTGTCCAATTTTCAATTCCAAGCCATTACCCATTACACCACCTGCACATCCAAGCTTATAGAACCTAATCACTCATCAAGGTACTAACCAGGTACAACATTGCTTAACTTCAGTGATCATATCAGAACCAGTGTTTCAACGTGAAATAGCTTAAGCCCAGAATTGGAAGAATTATTGAAGAGAGTATAAAATAGAATATGTATTAACAGTTTTTGTTTTTATTTCATTTTTCATTTTTTTCTTTTTCAAGTTGTTTAAGCCAGATTGTCATCAGTAGTGTAATTGCTTAAGATTTAGTCAAATTTGAATACAGTTACTTATAAGAAAAATGTCATATAAATGATGAAAAATACAGTCATCTTTGATATTCTTAAATATTATGAACACAAGAAATCATAAGAATAACAGTTACTATTTGGTTTAAAAAATAAGAAATATTAATCAAAAATAGAAGAGGCTGGTTAAATAAATAAAAAAATATCCCAAAACCTAATCAGTGTGTTTCTACTAGCAAAAGTATATTAAAGGAGCATAACTCTGTCTTATTTGATTACATTATTCTAAATGTGGCAAATTTTTGGCTTGTTGGCCAAACAGCTAGACTGGAGAGACTGAAAATTGGTCCACAAGTGAAGCTTAACTAAAGATGAACATAGGAAAGGTGGTGTCACCCTCCGAGGTCACCTGATGTTACTACAGGCCAATTTATGGTCTAAACTAATAACATCCAAGGACATCTTTTTATACAACACTGAATAAACTGCAAGTAGGTTAATTATCTATTAAACACTTCCAAATCCGGAGCCTTCTCACTCCTGTTGAAGGGGAACCCACCCTGATTGACCACATCTTCTGAGATGTAGCCATACTCACCACACTTCACCAGTTGCTGACAAGTGAAACTATTTAACCCATAGCTAGCATGGATGGCTGTTGATTCAAAGAAGTTGATCCACTCTTTAACAGTTTGTGTTTTTTGAGCTGCTGGGCTTCCAATTATCTGGTTAGTCACCAACCAGTTTTGTATTCTCAAAAGTTGTTCTTCTCAAAGCCCAGATAACCTCACTAGATAACAAAGTTTTATAAAAATAAAATTTAATTTAATTTTTAAATAAGCAAAGTAAAATACTACCTGTTTTACAGACTTACTTTTATGTTTGAAAGAGCGGCTAACATTGCCTTTTTCAATTTTATGCTGAGGATGCTGCAAAAAAAAAAAAGAAAAAGAACTCATTTGAATCTTTAGCAATTCTTACTCTGTCCGAGTGACAATAGTCTGTTTCATGCTGGAACACAATCTTCAGGCTATATCTGAAAATTGTGTCCTGGCCTGTCTCCACTCAGTGTCATCTTTTATATTTACATACACTCTATCCCTGACACTGAGCTCTTTTACCCAATAGTCCACATTTAAATAAAAATAAATCTACATTTATTTTCCAAGTAGCTTTAACAAACTATTCATATGCTGCTTTGGTGGGCATGCAAATATTGTTACATTTTGACCGACTTGGACACCATATTTGCCCAATATTGTTCCTTTAAATTATCATTCTAGTCTTTAGCAGAATTTTTTTAAAAAGAAAAAGGAAATTCCCAAAAAGACTGCAAAAGATACAGACAGCCGGTTTTTACTGAGAAAGATAATTTCTTAAAGAATGGAGTTGTAAAATTGCGAAAATGTACAATTTGCAACCACCATTTTATAGTTGTAGTCATGAACTAGCTTCAAGGTTTAATGTAAGTGATGAAACTATAAGACTGTATTTGCACCAGCTGGTGAAGAAATGAAAATTAAGCAAATGGGTATCATATGACTTAACACCAGCAAACAAACTACAAAGGCTTACCATATGCTCTTCTCATAGCAGTAGACTAACAAAAGAACCCATTTTTAATCAAATTATGACATGTGATGAAAAGTGGATCATGTATACAAAGAGGAAACATCATTGGTTATCACCAAATGATCCTTTGCCACAAACTTCAAAAAGGCACCACTAAAAAAAAAAAAAAAAATCTTTTGCTGTGTGTTTGGTGGACATGTCAAGGAATAATTCACTATGAGTTTTTAAAAATGGGTGAAACCATTATTGCTAACAAATATTGCGAGCAACTTGAACAAGTTCAGGAAAATTTGTTGAAGAAACAGCCTGCATTAGTCAACAGAAAACAAGTTTTGTTTCTCCAGGACAATGCTCGCCCACACATTGCAAAAATGACCCTTGCCAAGATAGCAGAACTAAAGTGGAAGATTATGCTTCATCCACCATATTCACCAGACCTCTCCCCAACAGATTTTCACTTGTTTTGGGGCTTAGATCATATGAAGAACAGGACATTTAATAATTTGAAAACAGAAGTGCATAACTTTTTTCCAAAGTAAAACTAAGGACTTTTACAAAAATGGCATTATTCAGTTGTTGAACCATTGGGAGAGGTCATAGAATATGATGGTTCATATTTTGATGAATAAATACATTTAAGATTTTAAACATGCATCTTTAATTTCCTTTATAAAAATTGGCAAAAACTTTTTTGGGCCCCTGATATAAGTGTAGATCACATACCAAAGTAGATTCAGGACATGTAGCTAAGAAACCAAAGTTGCACCAGTCACTCTCTTCACAGATGAAGAAGAGACTTGAAGCGACAGAAATGTGGTCCTACTAATGAGTGTTCTTGGAAACAAAGAAAAGAGTGCTGGACAGCTATGTAACATCTAATCTCCTATATGGCAGTCAATGCTGACCACTCTCTTCACAGCTGAAGAGGAGACTTGAAGCAACAGAAGACAGAAGCTGAGAATACCATGGACAGAACATGTGTGCAATGAAGAAGTTTAAAGGAAAATGTAAAGATAATGGACATACTTAGAAAGAAATAGTTCCAATTTCTTCAACATGGGGAAAGAGGGCTCAGCAAATTTGACACTCACAGGACATTGAAGGCAGTTGTGGCAGAGGGTAACAAGTTTGTGTAAATGGATAGCAGAACAAGGAATAGAAAATATAGTGAAAAAAAAGACAAATTTTACTTAAGAGCTACAAAGGGTAAGAAGTTGTGGAGAGCTATAATCAACCACCTCTTGAAGGAACATAAAAGAAGGACCATGATCAGCCACAAAGGTTAGTCTAGAGATATTTTTCAGCCTTGTGAATAAAATAGTCATAGCAGGCTGTGTTTGAACTGAAATAAAAATCCAGAATTTTAATTGCTTATTTTTTACCCAACTAACATGTAACATTCTTGCAATGTTGCAAACACATCATATTTTGGGGATGTATGATGTTGTAACACCGTTACTGTAATGCTACAATTAACTATTTTCCTGACACTAAAATGACTATACACCATCCTCATTATTGTCATAATGTTATGGTAATGTTGTAATGTTCAGCAGCTGAAAAATTCCACACTGGCCAAATAACATCAGAATATTTTTTCTTCACTTAACAACATGCATAGAAGTCATAATTTTTTTTTCATAGTTCTTTTAAAATTAAGAATCCCTAATTAAGATAATAAATGTATGTTCTAATATCTTCCTGGGCTTTATTATCCATTTTTTGTCAATGTAATATTACAAGGTAATATTGTTGGCACATTGTGGAGAGTCTATAAAAATATGTTTTTTGCAACCTTTATCTAACATTGCAGAAATACAGCAGCATTATTTTGTTTGCTAGATAGATACGACATGGAAAATTGGTGTGACACTATCTTCCCTACCTGGAATTTGGGGGTGACACTATCTTCACTACCTGGAATTTGGAGGTGACACTATCTTCACTACCTGGAATTTGGAGGTGACACTATCTTCACTACCTGGAATTTGGAGGTGACACTATCTTCACTACCTGGAATTTGGAGGTGACACTATCTTTCTTCTGTTAACTCCCCCTTCCTTTAGGCCTGTGACATACTAACATCGGTTTACTAAATTATGAACAGATGCATTATTGAATTTATACAGAACCAAATCAAGCAAAATCTGTAATACAATAAGTCTTTGGAAGACAGTTGCAAGAAAAATAGTTGTGTTCATCAAATTTATTGTTTAGTCATTGTTAGTCAACTTGCAAAGAAGACAAAATTTAAAGTTATTACCTCAGCAAGTTCCTTTTGACACAGGAGATCTAGTTCTGCACAGAGAGCAATTAAATCCAGTTGGATTGCATTTTCAGAGTGAGATGGGCAGAGCAGAGGTTCCCCCAGTTGAACATCAACTGAAAGAAAAATTTTTAAATATATAAAAATAAGCATTTTGGTCCAAAAAAAAAAAAAAAAAAAAAAAAAAAATCTAAGTTTATGTTTAAAATGCATTTCAAAACATAAATCTTTCTTAAAGCTTTAATTTTAGTTTTAATTCTAACAAATTAAATTTAATATTTCAATAAACAAAATAATTTGGTATATTTCAAACCAAATTTAAACTCAATGAAATTTTTTGTTTTCTATCTTTATCAGTAAAATCTATAAATTTGTCCATTTTAATAGATCTGTCAACACAATATAAATCTCTTTATTAAAAAAAACTTTCAAAAATAAAATATAATTTTCTGAAACATTATTTAAGGAAGATTATCAGATTTAAAGTTTAATTAATCTGATTTGAAATAAAAATTACTTACTTTCAGTTTAAAATATCACAGAAAAACATTTAACATGGAGAGTAATTTATTGGCTGCTTGAAAATTTAAGTAAGGGGAGACAAAACAGAAAGAAATTACTTGACAAATAAAACATGAATATCTTTTTGCATAATTTTTTTAACTACCCAGTAATCTTAAAAATTGAAAAAAATATTTTAAGCAATCTAATATTTCATTGAATTTTAGGTACTAACTATTATTAATAGTATTTAAAATAATAGGAGTTGCTGAATTGTAGTGAGCATTTCCATTTTTAATTAGTAAATAGAGTTTTAATTTAATAATATCACTTGGCCACTACAAATTAACACAGAATTTTTTAAAATTTCTGATATAATGGAATATGTATACACCTGTGTTCCCCCTCACTGGAATATGATTGGCTGGTGTCCATCATAAATACAGACGGACGTGTAGGTACGACAGAGTTTAAGTCTATGACAACACCCATTGGACTACACCATTGGCTATTCTATTGGTCTACACCTATTACCTGCGACGAGTACCAGTCAATTACTGCTACCGTGTACTACTTGGTTACAGTAGCCAAACCCACTTAGCTACTTCGATCAAATATATCCCTTTCCGGGACATATCAATTTCAAATTTATAAATTATTCAAATTAAAATTTTCAAATAATGAAAGCGATTCTTGTAAAAATTCATTATTCATAATATTTAATTTATAAAAGCAATTAAAAGCTTTTCTAATTTTAAAAGTCTTATTGCATTTTTTATTTTACAATTCAGATATTCTTAAGTGGTGGTCCTGCATGACCCAAATAAAAGTGATGATTTAAATTCTCTGAAGACTTATCCTTATAACAATTATAAATATTAAGCAATACAAAAAAGAATTTCTCAAAATTTCATAAAAATTAAAAGAGTAGGTGAGTAATATATAAGAAAAAAAATATTTTTCTAAAAAAGAAAGGCTCCAAAAATAATTAATGATATAATCCAACAATTATCGGATTTTTGCAAGAATTTCCAAATCAATGTGTTTTTCACCACAAAAAAATGTTGAAATTTCCCATACAAATTTAAGGTTTGACATTGGCAAAAAAAAAAAAAAAAAAAAGATTTTTAATCAAAATTTCTACGGTTCTAAAAAGGATCAAAAATTTTTTGGATTTTTACCATTACTAATAACACAGACATTTTGATGATAAAATGTTTTTACTGTTAAATCATTTTTAAAATTTAATTTTTTGTTAATTTTAAAAACTGTTAGATTATTTTTGTATAGATGTTCAAAAAGGAAATAATTCTAAATTACTGATTTGATTGAATGCTCATGATGATAATTCAATAAAATTTAAATTCAAAATAATTAAAAATAGGTACCTCCACTAAAATCATCATACCTAAAGTTTAAAATGAATTTTTGTAAATGAAAAACCTTTCTTGAAGCTTTCATTTTAGCTTTAATTGAAAGTTAAAGGATTAAATTTATTATTTCCATTAAGCAAAATACTCTGGTGTAATTCAAACAGAGATTATATTTATTGCAATCAGTGTTTTTTTTTTTTTTTGTTTTTTTTTCTAAAATTGCTGATTAGCACCCTTTTTTAGTCATCTTTCATCACTATGTAATTCTCTGTATTAAAAAATCATCCAAAAATAAAACATACTTTTCTGAAAGTTTATTTGAGTAATATTAGCTGATTTAAAGTATAATTAATCTGATTTGAAAAAATATTATTTACTTTTAGTTAAAAATAACAGAAAAATGGATTTTTAAAACAAACAGTAGTAGTGATTTACATGCTTTTCATTGCTCATTAGTCACTTAACAAGCATTGATAAAGTGTTGACAGATTATTGTTGTTCTACAGAGACTTTATCTGTAAAACATAGGAAAATGACAGGTGAATGCTTTTTTATAATTTTTAAGTACTCAGCAATCTTAAAAATGTTGGAAATATTCTCTGTAATCTAATTTTAGGAATGTTGACTTTAAATTCACTATGTCATCGATCTTATTTTCTGATAATGTCATGTAAGGTCACCCATACTTTCAAAATGAGTATGTTTATACACAAAATATTTTTAATTATTTTAAAAACCTTGGTGCATGATGATTTGTATTAAGCTATTCAATTTTTGCTTAATATAGTCTTCACTTAACAACCTAATGAGGAGAAAGTTTTGAAAAAATTTTAAAGATTTTTGAACCTTTAATAAAAAAATGAAAACAATTCTTGTAAAAATTCATTATTCATCAAAATTTTTTTCCTTCAGACTATAATGTCCTTAATATATATTATTTATAAAAGCAATTAAAATCTTATCTAATTAAATAATGTCATAGTTTTATTGCAGTTTTTATTTTACAATTTGAAGCAGATTTTTGAGAACTGAGTAACTGTTTGAAAAAAAAAAAAAAAAAAAAAAAAGATGATTTACATTCCCTAAGGAGTCCAGTAAAACTATCATTTAACTAAAAAAAAACTACCGAGTATAAAAATAAAATTAATTATACTAAGTTTCATAAAAGCATATAGCACAAAAAAGTATATTCTTAAACTACTTAGTGTAATCCGGATATAAGAGAGATTTTCTCTGGTCCCAAATTAGAGCTTGTGTTATAATGTATAGACCAAACCCGGATATAAGAGACGACTTCTCCGGTCCCGACAACTCTCTTATATCCGGGTTACACTGTATTGGTTATATGATGTTAAAGATAAATTATTTTGAAAATAATTACCAATTTCTTGATTATTGTACGGTTTGTGTTTCGTAATTCTTAATATTTTCGCGCGCTTTTTAAGAGAGGGGTAATATGAGACTTTTTAGTTTGTCCTATAACATCACAGTTTTCCCACCGTATGCAAATAAACGTTGTTTTCATTATGTTTTAAAGCAAAGAGTATGCATTAAGTTTACAAAATCCAGTTAATTAATCCTTAAATGTAATAACTGATTTCGAAACATGTCTCTAGAGAGAAAATACTGGATTTTGAAATTCGCTGTTTACATTTTTCATCTATATAATGGTGGTTCGAGGAGTGACGAGTAAACTAACCAATGTTATAAAAATGTCTAAAACTTTACATAAGGAAATTAGTTTTTCCTTATTTTTTTAAATCCGGATTAGCTTTAGTTTGCTTTCTTTCAAATAGAGCCAAAAATTTAACGTTAAAAAGAAGTATTAAATTTTAAAATAGATTTTTTTGAGATTTTTAAAGTCCGTGCGGTAAAAAATAGGCAGAAATTTTCACGGACAAAAACAACCAACTCTGTTTTCCAATATAATGATTATGTTGATGTTAATTTGGCGATTTTACGGAATTTTCGGGACATAAATCGACAAACCACACAGTAATAATAGTACACTTAACTTACACAGTGAGGAGACTAAAAACGAAACAAAAACAAAAAAATCCCCCACTCATGCACACAAACAAAATGTTCAGCATGTGTTTATTTTTTTTTTTTTTCCTCCTCGGGCTAAAAGTAATTATTGATGATTTCACTTCACACAATCATAGAGAGACTATTTACCAACTTAATGGTATTTGTGTGAAAATGGGTTGCTGCTTCAGAAAATGAACTCGTAAATAATCAATAGGACACAGACTTACTTCACGTACAATTACACACAACTGTTTATTTTCAATATAATCAATAATTAATTTTAGTTGCTGTAATAAAAATCACTATAAGTCTAAATTAAACTTTACGGATAATGAAAAATTGAATAACTCTCAAAATAACAGTAGTTAAGAAATTCAAAAAAGCTTTCCATAAAGCAGAAAAATGTTTTTAGCATTTATTTTAATAAACTAAAAAGAAAGTAAAAACAAAAAAAAAAAACTAAACGAAAAAATAATACACGGATGTCAAGGTTTTAAGAAGCTATTGCATTTACAAAGAATTATGAAATAAATACTAACAAAACAATTATTTTACTTTTCTCTCTACTAAATTTTGTTTTCGTATTATCAATTTAAATTTTTAAATATTTTAAACACGAACATCGAAAGCATGATTTGTTGTATGTATTGTTACTATAGTAAACCTTTTTAAAATATAAGTGAAGTCACTAAGGAATTAACAACCTTGTCCTTACTGAATTAACAATTTACCAGTGAAATCTTTCAATTTTAAAGATTTCGCTGCTACTGAACTAATTTGTTGGTTCGACTTAAAAAAAAAAAAATTCTGATAGTTGATCAAATTTTGGGAAGTGGGTCAGGCTGAGAATTTTCCATCACCCCTCGTACATTGTAAAGCTTCAAGAGGAAAAAAATATGGGAATGAACAGATTATGCCACAATTATTTTCAATTTGCATGCACGATTTTTTTTTTTAAATCTGAAAATAAAACAAGAGAAAAGAAAGAAAGAAAAATTAAACTGCTTTTATGGACGATGTACACTACTACAGTAAAAGAAATGCTCTCTCTCTCTAGGCTAGGAGGACTATATCTTTTTTAATTTCTTCCGATACATTAATCAATATTTATTTATTTAGGTGCCAAAAATATATTCTCTCTCTAGCTAATCATACTATCAAGAAAATGAAAAAATACAAATAACAATTAACATTGGTATGTGTAAGAAAAAAGCATAAATAAATCGTGTGATTATTACCTAGGGATGCAATGAAGACAAAAATTTATCTTTCCTAGGTAATTAATTAATTATTTATTTTTAACGGTATTTTTCGTCTTAGTAACTCTTCTTATTCAAAACTTTTTTCTCCCTCGTCAGCTTTTGTTGTTTTTTGATAAGGAAAAGTAATTAAGAAATCATAATAAATCACATCATGAGTCGCTAAATGACTTTAAATGGAATGTTTTCGTCAGAAAAACTTTAATTTACTGTTTTCGTCAGAAAAACTTTAGTTTACTGACTCTTTTTTTAGTTTTGTCGTTTTTTGTCTGGTTAAAGAAAAGATCAATCGATCTATAACACCGCAAAAAAAGTATTTTTTTTTAGTATAAACATCACAAATTAATAAAACTTAATTGAATTTTTTTTCAAAGCTCAATATTAAACTTTTTTTTAATTACAACAAAATTTAAATTCTCCGCTTCGAAAAAAAACATCTTCATTCATTGATCGTAATCATCAGATGTTTTTTTTCTTTGTTTATCGTAGAGACTAAAAATTCGATCATGAAACAGGGAAAATACAATAATATTACAATAGCTATATCTAAGGTGAAGGTGATATAATAAAATATGTGATATATAATATTTGTATATTTCAAAATATATTTAAAATAAAGAACTGAACTGACCTTTAAAACTTTTATCATAGCAAAATGGCCTAACAAGGGCCGGTGTTGCCGCAATCGACATGATACCGTCTTCCACGTTTTTTTTTTTTTCTTTTTTTTACTTCTTAATTAGGAAAATTCGGGAGTAAGGGAGATAATCAAAGTTGGAATTTCTAAATAAAGTGCTAAAAACATGAAACCTTAACTAACAGAAAGATATAATTTAAGAGGTTTTGATATGATTGCGTGATCTTTCTGTCTTCCTAATTCAAACAAGACTACAAATGGATTTATGGTTGGATAAAAAACGTGTAGAGTATTTAATTTTAATTTTTAAATAAATAAATATCTTAAATAATTAGGTGTTACAAAGATGAAACTATGCAACGTAATTTTTTTTTTAAATTAATTTTCCCCAAGCAACGTGATAATGCCACTAATACACAAGGGGCTGCTGGGAGTGATAGAGAATGATAAGACTTTAGAAGGAACCGGAAATCCAATCCTAAATAGGAAACCTCTTCTCCTGTTCAAAAGAATGAGGAGGAGTGTGAACCGAACGATAGATGAATCTATCTACTCCAATTGAGGAAAAAATAAATAGTAAATAAAATTTCAGAGTTTAGGCGGAGACATTAGAAGTATAGAATTAAACTAGACTTTTGAAGGAACCAGAAAACCAATCTTAATCCTAAGTTTAAAATGTTTACTTTTGCATGTAAATGATAATCTGACTAAAAAGTTGATCACATTATAAAATATGTTTTAATGTGTGTTATAATTTAAGAGTACAAAAATTATTTGTTTTATCAAATTTTAATTTATCGTGATTTTCATTAATAATTATTCATGAGACATATGTACCAGGCTGAGTCAAAAGAACCACATGAGACACATTTATCAAGATGAGTCAAAAATTTTCACTGATGATTTTTGGCTATTTGCATCTCCATATTGTATCAGTAATTTGATACAATTTTTTATCTAATCATTGCTGAATTGTTTATTTTTTATTTTCATAAATAACATATAAACATTAATTTTTTATTCTTGATTTTACAGCTTTGATAATGAGTGGTGAAAAAATTGCAATTAGAGCCATGGAAAAGAGGTTTGAGTGCAATGAGAGCGAAATAAGAAATTAATGATGTGGAAGACCCAGGAACTGTCAACAAACATGTGGCACAAAACTGGTTCAGACATTTCAAGGAAGATAACATCAACCTCAAAGGTAAACCAATGTTAGGGTGACCTTCTGTTGTGGAAGATGAGGCCCTGCTTGAAATGGTTGAACAGCAGTGAAGCACAAGCACATATACATTGTTGGCAGAACTTGGTCCTTCACAAAGCATCATCAATCAATACCTCTGTAAACTCAGCCTTGTGAACAGACACTGCCAAGAAGTTCCTCATGAACGGACCAATGGCGAGTCTGTAGGGACATTATTATTACAAATAAGTAAAAATAAAATATAAAATAATAATAACAATGAAAATTATAAATAAAATAAAGCAATAACATAAAAACATTGTATAAATTAAATACAAATTGTTTATTCTTTATTTTCATATATAACATATAAACATTAATTGCTTATTCTTGATTTTAGCCTTGTGAACAGATACTGCCAAGAAGATTGAGAGAAAACAGTTTTTTCTGTTTTCTCTAATATCTGATGAAGCTTTAATAAAAGTGAAACATGTTAGATTGATATATGTTTCCTATTTGTTCTTTATTTTATCATCCTATCAGATTCTGATTCATATTTGAACTTCATTTGATCTTTAACTCATATCAATCTTATTACTATATAAAACTCTGTGAACTTTGTGTCTTGTATCTTTGCCAGAAGTCATATATTGAAAGTGGGGAAAAGAAGGTTATAAGCATATATAGTGAGTTTGGAAAAGAAAGATGTAAATTTATTATCATGTAGTAAGCGAGGGATGGAGCCGATTTTCTTACAAGAAAGTCTATAAAACACACAAAATCTGTCCCCAAACAGGATACACACAGCTGTCATCAAGGTCCACACCACTCTCGATTGTGAACTTCACAACCTCATGCTAAAAGTGACATCGCTGACAAATTTCAAAGAGACAGATTCTGACTACAGTAACGCTGTCCACAGTAAGAAAAAAATTCTATCTTTTGTATCCTCTTTACTATGAACCACACACGTGTTGATTTTTTCACACAAACACACATATAACATTTGTTTTTCACATATATACACAAAGAGAATTTATATTTTATTTCAGAACTTTATTACCCCAAACAAAAAGACATTACTTTCCAATCTATGAACAATTGCTTGTATTCTTGTCGTTATATTGTATGTTATATTCATTATATTTGTTATATATTCATTTGTTGAAACTACGTTGTCTTTTCTACTGAATTTTATTCTTTCATTGAAAATCATTTGATTATTCTAAACGGACGAATTACGTGCAGCCCCGCAACAATATTTTATGTTATCGTATCGAATCCCAACCAATTCGAATTTTGACATTCCAAGCTTTTATTGCTCAACTTTCTTCAAACAGAAAATTTTTTTTAATGTTGAACGCAACTTCAATAACTGCAAATAAACATATTTTTAAAATATCCCTATTTTCACAAACTCTTCATGAAACTAAATGTAAACAGTAAACACAAGGTTGACCCAATGGGTCACAGGTGGTCTAGTATTTATATAAAATCCATGTGATGAATTTTGGAAATGTTAAGACATTCAGTCAATTACAACTATTACAATTGGTAACCCCTTTCCATTGAAACTTCTGCACAACTAAACAGTAAACTCATGTAAAATCTATAAATTTATTTCAGTAATCAGTTAAAAGATAAACTCAAAATTGGATATATTTTGTACAAATTATAATATTCTTATGGCTTCTAATATTTGCTTCCCAGTAACCAGTACATTGAGTTTTTGTAAAATCTATTTGTTTATTGTACATTTTATAAACTGTTTTCATAAATCCAGAATCTATACTAAGATTACTAAATTCTTCTTTATGTATTGCGTCTCCTCATGACATGAGCGATCATGGCTCTGCACAATTTCCTGTCCTTCAAAGCTCTTAATAAATTTTGTCTTTTTGTTAATTCTCAGAAACCTTGTTCTGTGATCGATTTACTCAAGCTCACTACAAGTGATTTTACTCTGTTCTTTTTGCCTTCAATATGGCAGTGAATGCTGGACAATCTCCTCAAAGATGAAGGAGAGACTTGAAGCAACAGAAATGTGGTTCTACAGAAATATGCTGAGGATACTATGAACCAAACATGTCAGCAACAAAAGTTTTAGAGAAAATGAAAACAAGAGGGCTTGGAAAATTTGATACTCACAGGACAGATTGAAGGTAAAGAGGGATAGAGGAAAACAACACATAACCTACCTAGCAAGTTTTAGAGAAAATGGAAACAAAAAGGATACTTATACTTAACATCAGGAAGAGAGAGTTGAAATTTCTAGGGCACATAATGAGGAAAGAGGGATTGGAAAATTTGATACTCACAGGACAGATTGAAGGTAAAGAGGGATAGAGGAAAACAATCCATAACCTACCTAGCAAGTTTTAGAGAAAATGGAAACAAAAAGGACACTTATACTTAACATCAGGAAGAGACCGTTGAAATTTCTAGGGCACATAATGAGGAAAGAGGGCTTGGAAAATTTGATACTCACAGGACAGATTGAAGGCAAAGAGGGAGAGAGGAAAACAATCCATAACCTACCTAGCAAGTTTTAGAGAAAATGGAAACAAAAAGGATACTTATACTTAACATCAGGAAGAGACCGTTGAAATTTCTAGGGCACATATTGAGAAAAGAGGGATTGGAAAAGATTACTTACAAAATCAAATTTAGATACTAGATAGAAAAAAAATAAAATGTAGAACACTTTTCCTAATATTAGCCAGTTTTAAATTCTTTCATATTCTTGTGGGAGCTACAGTACCAATAAGTATGAAAGAAGCCTTGTTCAAGTGTGTCATCTAGGCTACCATAATTTACATGAACAAAAGTGGAATGGGAGATAACAATGAAGCTGCAGCATTGAAAAGTTGGTATTACAATATAGTTGTAGAGAAAGATCACATGACAAAATAATACACGAGTTTTATTGCATAGTATGAATAGAGTTTTTACTGCACAGTAGCCTCAGCTACTGTTACTAATAAGACATTCCTAGCTAACAACTCTGTGGCAGTCTTCAGTTATCAGAATCAGGTTTCAGTTTGTAGGAATCTTGCCTGTCCAAAATAAACAAGAGAAAGACAAATAGCTATGGTAGGTTGACTGAGCCTTCTGCTACAGGGTTGAATTGATGGTAGCTTATATATTGTTGGATCAGCTCAAAAATGTTTGGTCTTTTCTCATGACAAACTAATGGATAAGATCTTCTCTTCAGCCAGAAAGAACTCTCTCACTACATATCTTCTTACCCTGTGACTCTGCTCTTACCTAGAGTGCAGCCTAACTATACAACCCCTGACCAGAATTCTCTACCTTCCTGTTAAGTGTCACAATATCTCAAAAATCTTAATTTATTTAGACATTTCCTTTTCCCTACCTTTGGACAGTTGTTGGGTTCCTTGAAACTCTCACATCTTGATTTTACTAGCGATGCAGTTAGTTGTCATAAAACTGCTTCAGGCCCAGATAAAATCATTTAAAGTTCACTTCATTATATGGGTATCCAGCCTAATCAAGCAGAGGACCCATTGAGCCACATACTAAGCTCATGTGCCTTTAGACAATATTCACATTTTAATGGGTGTTTTTTTAGATTAAATGTACATCTAAATAAATCTTGTATTTTTTATTTTAAATATAACACATTTCATAACTTTTCAAAAATTTTGATTATTGCAAAATATTTGGTTTAAACGGACCTGAACAAACATTGTATATTTCATATCACTATATTTTGGCAATGACTTATTTCTTCCATCAATACATTTCAGCTTGCAATGTCTGAACATCTATTAAATAATCCTAAGTGTGCTTTGTCTTACAACAAAGATGTGTTCTCTGTTTTAAGTAACATGCAGAGTTCTGTTTGAAAATCCCAGAATCAATATATATCAAGTCTCTGCAGCCTTCCCTCTGTAAGCAAAAGGAGTGGGTTTTTGGTCCGGATGTTGTTTGCCTTTGATTTGAAACCTCCTGACAAGTGGACTGAACAATTACAAAAAAGTTTAACTATGAAACTCCGGAGTTGAGGTGCTGAATATAACATTTATCAGCAAATGACAAATTTTATTTGTACTAATCCTATATATGTTTTTTTTAAAAAAAAAAAAAAAAAAAAAAAATAAATAAATTTCTCAAACATTCAGAATGGTAGACAAAAATAAATAAGTGTACTGTTTAATAAATTTACAGAGCATCTACTCAAATATGAGTATCGACTAAAAACATTTAAATTATATATAGAGACGTGATACTACAATTCACATATTAAAGTGGAAGAACTACTAATCTTATAGTTAGGAAGATTGTTTTTCTTCTTTCTTTATCCTTCATTATAACTAACTACACCAAAATTAAAGAATCACTAGTTGGAAGATAGTGGCCGAAAAAGACATATCAACACTTGAACTTTATCTGTCCAGTGGAGCAGTAAAGGCAATAACCAAAGGAAACTGGATTTAACCAGTTTTATCAATGAACTACAGATATATCTCAAACACCAACTTCAATGACTGTAAGCATTTAGCTTAACAGATAATGAACATTGAAATTATCCATGAATTCAGACATTCAGATCCAGTCATCTTATATAAACATATTGACTCTGAAGCACAGATAAATTAATATATGATTTCTATTGACATGATTGAAATTCCTGTATTAAATGCCACATACACTACATACCCATCTAAACAAACTCTTTCTGTTTTCATGTTTTTGTGTTATTCAATTAAACTGTTTATATTAAATTGACTCCACATGTTCACTGTCGTTCTTTCACTGATTATTGTATTTTGCATGCCTTGTTCCTAACCTGTAGACATCATTTCTTTGTATGATTCCAGGAAATCATATCCCGAGTCAAATATCATATTCTGGCTTAAATATAAATTTATGTCCAAGACTGTGACAGAAGTTTGACCCCCCGTACATGACAATATATATCACTCACTTAGTCTTTGGGATTCTCCCTTGGTATTTAACCATTGTGCATTCCATTCTTATTCTTTAATATAACATTTAAGAATAAAAACAATAACCATTACCTCTTTGAACAGTTCTTTAAGAGGTGCAGTACCTAAATACAGCTTGAAAAAGTAGAAACATTGAAATTACCTTTCAAAAGAGACATTGTGTTATGATTCCTCTAATGTCAACAGCTTTTTGGTTAAACTTCAGAGTATTGTTGATAAATCTTTTTCAAAATTAGTCCAAATAAACAGAAAAACTGATATAAAACCAAGCAAAACAGTTTTAAAAAAATATAGTCTTTATCAGTTATCTCACAAGAGAAAAATAATACCTAGATAGATTTTCAAGGAATATAGATTCTTTTTGCTTACATCTTGATTGATAGATTTTTTTTATATATGGCTTATCAACCTGTTGTTTATTTAAAGACAAAACATTTTTGAATTAAGAAATTTTTTTTTTGCAGTTGACTATCATACTAACAGTATTTGTAGACACTAATGATTTACAAAATACAAGTTCCACTATATAAGAGCTGGAAAACAGATGGATTCATACCTTTCCCTAGGGTATTTGCACAAGATTGAATGTAACAAGCCTGACTGTAATTCAAACTGAACTCAGCTCTGATTTCTCATCTTGAGCCATTATCCATTACACAAGCGCACATCCAAGCTTACAGCACCAAATTTTCCTACGCAGTCACCCATCTAGGTACCGTCAGCAGTCAGACAGGAACCAATGTTTGAACATGATATGGCCACAAGCCCTTTTTGTGTACATAAAGACAGTTGACGTCTAGAAATAAAGAGACGCTAAAATCCTTAAGTGAAACACTTAGAATGTTAACCATCATCTGAGAATATGGTGGTATAGACAGGATTATCAATAGCAAATTCTTATTTATGTGCCATGTCCCCTCAAGACATAGGCAATCATGGCTCTCCACAACTTTCTGTCCCTTCTAGCTTTTAATAAATTTTGTCATTTCTCCTAAACTCTGTTCCACCATCCATTTACTCAAGTTCATCAAATGTTATGCACCATTTTCTATCCATTTGACCCTTAATCTATACTGTGAGTATCTGATTTTCTAAGCCCTCCTTCCTCATTATTTGCAATGAACTGTATGATGTGCTCATAAAAATCTCCACCAGTAGGAACACCAATCATTGTTGCCACAGCTGAAACACATTACATTTCCTAACAGTGTTCATATCCACTGTTTTGTCTTTGTAAACATTCATCAAGTATCAATGAATATCAAGAGTGCTAGTTTATTCACATAGAAAAATTTAAAATGGCAGACTTTTGCTTCCAACATATTCATGTCAGATGCTATTTGTAAGATAAAAAAAATGATGGGTGACTGAAGGGATGGTTAACCTCTACAACCAGTCAACCAACATCCATCTTTGACATCAGTAATAAAATAGGAGACATTACTTTCAGAATGACCAACACATGTACAAATACATACAAGGTTTGATAAAAAAAATATTGGGACTGTTGCTATAGTAACAGAGATGAACTATGCATAGTGAAGCCACTCAGCACAGATTGACATTGAAATCTATCACATGTTATAATGTTCTTGCTCACTTCTATTGTCTTGGAAGGAAAGTGTGTAGAGTGTGGTTGTCTCACTACACCACAGAAGTTCCATAGGTAACAATGACTTGTGCAGCAGTTTTTGGCCAAACACATTCCCCCCAGGTCCGACAACTACCATATTTCCCAGATCTCACCCTCTTGCAACCTTTCTCTTTTTCCAAAAATCAAATAACACTTGAAAGGAAACAAGATTTCAAGATTCAAGAAAAACCATAGGAATGCAACAAGGTAGCTGTTTGTATTCCCCCCCCCCCAAAAAGGGAGTTCCAGGAATGCTACCATCAATGGAAATGATACTGGATAAAGTGTGTAGCTTCAGAACGGGACTACTTTGAAGGAGATTAAAAGCCAAATTGATATATGTTTGTTTTCTTTTTATAGCACCAGTCCCAATACTTTTTGATCAGACCTTGTATATATTCATTTGAAAAAGTATTAATGCTGACAAATAAAAAAAAAAAAAAGAGAAGAAAGACATTTTTATACTGTGTTGATAAAGAAAATATTAACAAAAATATTAAGTAAAGAAAAAAAAACAAAAAAAAGATGATATTCCTTTTTATTATTTTCATTTAAACATAAAGCATTATATAAATTGCCATGACAAACATACGTATGACATCTACTTTGACCTAACTTGATTGGACAGGAAAGGGGCGTGGCACAAAAAGAAGAGCAGCAGCAGCAACACAAGGCTGCAATGAGGACTCAGGAGAAAACCGAGAAAAAGGGAAATTCGGTAGTTTCCGGCTGGAGGAGATCAAGCAAAAAGAGTACAGATCCAGCCCAGCCTTCATACAAACTGAATGGGGAGTCAGGGGTCCGGGCTCCATGTTGAAACTCAGGGGTAAACATAAATTCGGCAAAACACTGGGCTCTGTGAAGGTACTTGCTGTCATTGGTAAGGCGGTATAACAACAGAAAGGCATAGCCACTGCCAGCAACTCCGTGACAAATCCCAGGGCCTTTTTTCAGTAAACCAGCCTGCCATGTGAGATCACCACACCGGATACAAGCCTTAAGATATTTCTCATCCTTCCAGAGTCTGTAGGCACGTGCAAATGTGTAGATAACACCTGAAAAATAACATTGGATAATATACAAAGTAGGTTTTTTGTGGATTTGTTATTGTCAAATATACAAATTTACTAACAACATTTTTTTGTAATACTATTGAAGTGTTATAAAATATCATAGAGAAAGCTTATATAATCTGAATGTACAATTTTTGCTAACAATTTTATCAACAATAAATTAAAAAGATCTAATATTGGTTAAGCTTATCAATAAAATCTCAAACAGCAGATGGAATTTTAATTTCATAATGAAATGATTCACTTTCTTACAATCTTGTTTAGTTTATGCAAACTTGAATATCGACAAGGTAAAAATATGTTTTGTCAAAAAAAAAAAAAAAAAAAAACAATATATTTAACACTGTATTTTTTTCAAAGTTTAATTACAATTAATTCATCTCCAATCAAAACAGTTTTGATGTAAAAACATCAAAACAAAACAATAATCAAGTAAAAAAAAAAAAAACTTCAACCATTTGCACTTCCAAATATTAATGTATAGCTAATCACTACCATAATCTAATATCTTCCCCACTCACAATTCTCACCTAGAGTTCTCTTCCAGCTTTTTGCTTTCCTGTCAATTACAATCTACCAAAAATTTAAATGCAATGGCAGTAATCATCTTGTTTCCTGTTTTTTTTTATTGTCCTTTCTCCTCAGTAATATTTTCTCAGTTCCTTTCATTGTCTTTCATCCTCAGTAACCACTTGTGTCTTTATCGCCTTGCTTTGGGTGAAAAGATAAAAGTATTCCTTTTCATTTTTAATAATGAGATATTCCTACTGCAAGACGATTATTCAAGACACTGTTGAATGTGAATGCAAGTGGAGATGGCAACACAAAAGCTGGTCAGACACCAAAGAGTGGATGTACATGACAATGCTAGAACTCCTGAGAGCCACTACCAACAGCTCCTCCTGGAGAAGTTTGTTTCTTCTGTCCTTAGCTCCCCACAACAACTGAAGCACTCAAGGGACTAATGATGATTTCTGTGTAATGGTTATGCAAAGTAATTTCTTTTATTGGTATCAAGTAATGTTTGTTGCCATAACAACTGGATATCTCATTTAAAAAAAAAAAAAAAACCCAGATTGTATGATCAATAAATAAAGTTACATTCTGTTCCATGTTACAGAATAGATGAGAAAAAAAAAAAAGAAATCCATAAACACTAACCAGACAAAACAACATTTTTGCCCTGTAACTGTCCAATTCAAATAAAATGCCAAGAGCTGTTCCCAAGCTTTAACCATATTAAAACTTACCAGGAGCACCATGGCACCAATGAACCAATTCCTCTGAAGCTGGTCGTTTCTGCCCCATATTTACTTCATCCATAGCAGGTGCATAGTTACAGTTTGGTTGTTCAATGCTTAGCATGAAATCAACAGCGGCACGGACATCCTCTTCAGCACTTGGATGGGCTTTGAAGAATTCAGGAATGCATAGCAAAAACAATAAGATCGAAGAGAGACCATGTGCAGCACCTGTACAAAAATGCCAAAATGCCAAACACTCAAAGAAATAAATGACAGAATAATATTTTCGCATTATTTCTTTTAGTGAAATTAATTAGAAAGAAAGAAATGGCTTTCAAGAGTAAAATTGTATTATGTTCAGGCAAAGAATGATCAACAAGTATATTAGCTAATATGTTATGAGCAGAATATTGTTCTGGAATGTTCAATGTATAATTTTCAATCTGTTATTAATGAAGAAGCATTGGGTCAAGTGAATTAACAATTTATGTAAATATTTTTTTTTCATCCGAGGCTATAAACTTATTGATATACTTTAAAATATTGACTTATTCTGTTTTGAAATAAGAAAACCATTCTCAAATCATAAATGAAAATTAAGATCTTCATATAGTTTTAACCTTTTAGCATTCAACCCACCCCATAAATATTGGCTTTCAATATTCAATCCACTGTAATCCACCCCATATATATTCTGCCATAACATATGGCAACTTCATCACAAATAATGCAGGAAGTCAAGCAGAGAGACTTTGGCTATAAACAGTGAGATTTTGAGAGCTAATATTTACAGGGTGGGTTTGGGCATGCTGAATGCTAAAGAGTTAAAGTAGAAATTATACAAATTTTGAAAGTTAAAAACTAATAATTTTAAAAGAATTTTAATTTAAGAGCACAATTTTAAGAGCAAGAATGATTGGGTCCGAGAGAGAGAGAGAGAGAGTGTGTGCCAATTCTGGCGGTATACTTACCAAGATATTCTGTTCCGTGGTAGGCATACATTAATGGTGAAAAAGATTTGTGTTTAGCAGCATATTCTTTTCCTGATTGTATTATTGACTGGCATATGCTGATATTGTGCGTAATGATCTAAGAGGAGAAAAAAAAGATATCAATGTATAGCAGCAATAATTAGTCTTATGTTTGGTGCATCATTTTCAGATTAGTTCAATATTATTCAAACAGAAAATCTTTCCATATTTACTGTTAATAAAACATTTCAGGGAATCCATTAATCAGCACTTGTTAGATATAGTCTATGAAAGAAAGAAAGGTTTACTTAACCCCCACAACAGATTTAAATCTTACGATTTATAAAAGAAACTAGTGTACCTGTACTGTCAAAAATGACAGCTACTGTTAGCATGTTTTAATAGTGACATGCGATGAAACAATGTATTGAGATTCAATAAAATGGAGATAAAAAATTCACAACTAAAAAAAACAGGCCAATGAATCATTTAATTAATCCATTCCTTTTATATACTTTTTTTTTATGTTTAATGGTATCTATGATTCATCGATTACTTCTGATAATACATAAATCACTTTTTGCTAAAGATCTTTTCATGTTAAAAAAATTTGCTTAATATATCAGTAAAATGGAAATATCTCAGAAAAAGATTAGTAACAAAACAAAAAAAGCCTATTTCAAAGTTGAAGCAAGACAGTCACTGAATAGACAAAGATATCAGAGTGCCTCACATGAAGGGCTCAAACAAATAAGACTGCAATCTAAGAAACTAAGGAATAAAGGAACTGATTAATTAAACAGTTCATTTTGCTCAGAAACTAATTTTGTCTAAATGCAAATAAAAAATTTGTATAGATTAAAATGCCTAAGAGAAAATGACTAATAACTCAAATTTTCTAACTTGAATTGATTTACCTCCCTTCCCACTATAGATGGGACAGGAAATATATAAATACAAAGGAAATCAATAAATAAATACATATTGATGATTATCAAAAAAAAATTTAAAAAATTAAAAAAAATACATGAAGCATTTTCTTATATCAAAATTCTTTATTTTTTACCTTTTCTTAAATTTGAAATAAAAAAAAAAAAAATGAGTTACGGAAGACAAAATGTAATCTGTATTTTTAACCAGTTTTATATAAAGGATCGATTTCATCAAAAAAATTTATGAGTGAAGAAGTTCCTTCTCAGAACAAAATGTGCTACTAACAAGCTTTTTCATCTTGTCATTCATTACGCAAGATATAAAATGAACAAGCATTTATTTTTAATTTAAGAAGTTTTAAGATGCAAGACTAATCTTTTTCAATACATGCTTGTCATTTTAATTCAAATTACCTGCTCTTCTGTCAATTTTCTTTGTGTAATTTGAATGATCGCGTATATTTTTAGTTTCATTTACAATGATGGAAAATAAGTACTCAATACATACCACAAAACTCAGTTTTATTGCATTATTCACCTCCATGTATGGTAAGTATTTATCTCAAAATGACACCACATAAGTTTGAATCTTTATGTTAGTAAATATGAGAGAACATTTCAACATGTACACTAATATAAAAAGACATTTTGAAAAGATGAATCAAAATAAGTAACCTAATATGTAAATTTGTAAGTGGCTGGTTCTAAACAGCAGGAAGTTAATGTTCTAAGTAGTAGTTACTATTCTTGGCACAATAGTACAACTGTTATTAGTTGACTGCTAAATATTATAGCAGTAGCAAGCCCAACATCAAAGACAAATATTTTGCAGATCTCAGAAATACTGTAGTTAGTGTTTTTATCCTAAAGGTAAATGTTATAGAATTGTCAATAAAGAGTTAAACTTCAGCCATAAATCATTAGTTCAATGGTTTGCAAATGAAAGGAACATGGCTCAACAGTGGATTGTCTATGATCTGGTATCCCTTAAAAGATTTCCCACTATAATGCAAGAAAGATTCAAGAATGGTAAAGCAGCGGCCGAGGTTTACTCACAAAAAGCCAGCTTACAATCTTGTAGAGCATGAAGAGTACCACATCTGAAGAAATCACACAGAGTTTAAGGAGCATTTATGTAAGCTAGATACCTACAGAAATAATATTTTTTAATCTGATGAAACCAAAATAGAATTATTAGACCACAGTTCACATGGTCAGTTCTGGAGAAAGAATGAAGCCTTGAAGCTAGAAAACACTGTCCCAAATGTGAAGCACCAAGACCCCAATATAATAGTATTGGGGCTGTTTTTTGGGGGGTTTTTTATTACATGGTGCAGAACCATTTCATATAATCAAAGAAAGAATGAGTGGGGAGATGTATTGAGATATATTGAACAAGTACCTTACATCAGTTAAAGTGTTAAAAATGAACTGTAAGTGTTCCACAGAACAATGATCCTAAACATACTACCACCAAAGACCAGTTTGAAAACAAAACATCAACTTATTGAAGTGGCCCAATCAGCTACATTTGTTACTATAATTATCAGTCTAATAATTTAAATGAAGATCTGCTATAAAGAGTGGTTTAAAATACCAGAAAAAGAGTGTTCAAGGCTAACAGCTACTTATAGAAAGTATTTGGAAGCTGTCAAAGGCTATTCCCCAAAGCATTAGTCTCTGCTTGATCTTGTTTTGAATAGGATATTGTATACGTGTTTTTTGTTGCTCCAACAGCAGAAAAGTGATGGTCTGATTTCACTTGGGTTATATACAAACCATATGCTCAATCAGATGATTTTACTGAAGGAAAAAATCTCATTCCTCATATCAGTCTCTCCCTAAACAATATTCTAAATAAAATGAAAACTCAACAACCAAAAAATTAACACTCCCTAATCTGTATTCCAACAGTCTAATCTCTAAAATGACAATCACCAGACTACAAAGACACAAAGATAAAACAGTTTAATTATATTTTTATCAAAAAGAAAAAAAATTTCATGAACTGGTGATACTGAAGGGACGCATTTAAAAAAAATGCATTTATTGGGAATTCACAAACCAGCCAATAACTAAAGAATCAGAAAAATGATAAGTTTTTAGTATATTGTTATATTTGACTTTCATGACATTAACTTATTTTTTGGTTTATTAGGAAAAAAAGATTTTCATTTACTGCCTTTTTTCCATATAAAAATAGCTTGCTCATTAATAGAAGCACAGAGTTCAATCTTATTACATCTTTCATTTTTAATATCTTAACATAAAAGATTGTATATGTAAATCAAATATTACTATCAATTACCTGTACAATATTCTGTCAATGTGCAAAAAATGAGACAACATGGCTTCCCTGTGCCATTTCTATAAATATTTTAATGGTAATTGTTTTGATGATCTTTCCTCTTTGGTACTTAGACTTTATGAATTTAAGTGCAGCACTAGACTGGCAGCAAGGCCTTATCATTTTACAGTCGAAATGGCTAGATATAGTTGTAGGTTCTATACTAACAGTTTCTTCTCTCACACATCTTGTTTGTAGAACTCTTCTAGCTTCTTTCATCATAATTGTTCTGATTAACTTTCCACTATGAATTTAAGCGCAGTACTAGATTGGTAGCAAGGTCTCATCATTTTACAGTTGAAATGGCTAGACATAACAGTAAGTCCTATGCTAACAGGTTTTCTATCACACTTCTCACTTGTGGAACTCTTCCGATTTCTTGCATCCTAGTCAACTTTGATCTTCAAAAATTTAAATGCAATGTCAATCGTTATCTTCTGTCTACTTAATTCTTGTTCTTTTATTGTCCGTTCTCTTCAATAGTACTTTTTCTCATATTCTTAAACACTCATTAACTCCTAGTGGCTTTTTTTGTCTTGCTCAGGATTAAATGATAAAAAAATATAAACAAATATAGCCAAATCAAATACACTGACAGCAGACTGGAAGAATATCAAATTTAATTACAAGTTCAATAACATACAATGTGACATGTCCATATGATACTATGTAGGTAGAAATAAACCAAAAGTTGGAAGCATGGATCAGCCAAAATTCACAATGGCAAAGGGGACAATTTGCATAAATATAACAGGTTCAGCAGTAGCTGAATATTTTATAAAAAACAAAACAAAAAAAAACCCAGCAATATGTGCAGTCTTATAGGGAAAAACGTTCTCAGTGCTGAGCAAGGCTAATTTCTAGTTTCAAGTGTTGAGACAGTTGACATTAAATCCTATCCGCTATCTGTCAGCAGAATGTGTCATATAGGAATAAAGTGTTGCTGCAGACACTTGGGTTTGAACACGGATCACCAGAGAGCAAACACAGTCAACCTAGTCTTGAAATAATTAGATCATGCGACAGGTAAAGAAAATATATATATATATATATATATATATATATATATATATATATATATGGTAATCAGTGGTGTCTGACAGAGTATTGTTTGTAGGTGTTACTATTATTGTATCTGTGATTTACTTAGTCTCTCCTACAAATGGGCATTACAAAAGTGGTGACAAGTATTCATTGAACTTACACAAGGAAAAAATAAAATATATGTATCCAATAGGTTGTAATAGAATATTCCGTAATATTTACCACTTCAACAAAGAGACATCATATTTGCAGGACCACAGAGAAATAACCAGACATAGTTATTCAAAAATTAATCTACAAAATATTCAGTGGAGTACAGCAAAATGGAAGAACTAAAAGCTATCATGATTCAAATGTTGGCGCTACAAAAACAGCAACAAGAACAACAATTGCAGCAACAAAAGCAACAATTGCAGTAGCAAAGACAACATGAACATCAATTACAATTACAACAGAAGTTTTTTTGAATTGTTTACTAAAACTACAGAGAAGACTTCAGATCCATTCAGTCCAGATGCTGTTGCTAATTCAATCACCAAATTTGTATACAATCCAGACGACGGGATAACTTTTCCAGAAGATACAAAAGGATCTTCAAAAGGGATTGTTCACATTGGAATGATGAAAAGAAAGTTCATTTATTATTAAGGAAATTGTCCCCCTGCTGAACATGAAAAATATGTGAATTATATTTTGCCAAAAAAAACAGGTGAGATAAATTTTGATGAAACTGTTGTAATACCATCAAAAATTTTTGGTGATAGGAGCTCATTATTTAATACATGATGGCAATGT